CCCTCCCCTGCTGGCCTGGTCCCTCCTCAACTGCCCTCTCCTGCCAGCCAGATTACCCCCAACTGCCTCCCCTGCTGGCCTGGTCATGTCCAACTGCCCTCCCCTGCCGGCCTGGTCATGCCCAACTGCCCTCCCCTGCAGGCCTGTCCAATTGAATGGGAAGATACATTTCAATATCATTATTTGATTTCATTGCTTCTGGAGTTGGTCCTTTACTTCCAAGCCTTTACAGTGTATAGTACTAGGAAGTATGACGATGAAAACATTAATTCATATTAATAAGTTCAATTGAAATTCAGGATTTTCTTTAACTTTTTATTTTTTTTAGTGAATTTCTTAGGGTGATATGGTTTCAAATGTACACTTCTATATATTAGAGGCCCAGTGCACAAAATTCGTGCACTGGGGGGGAGGGGTGTCCTCAGCCCAGACTATACCTTCTTGCAGTCTGGGAGCCCTCAGGGGATGTCCGACTGCCAGACTACATCCTTAGTGCTACCATGGAGGTGGGAGAGGCTTCTGGCTGAGTGGGCTGTCCCTCTGTGGGAGCACACTGATCACCAAGAGGCAGCTCCTGCCCCCTGTTGGTTAGTGTGTATCATAGCGACCAGCTCAGCTATTTGCTTGATTTGCATATTAGCCCTTTATTATATAGGATTGTACTGTGTGTTCATCACCCAGTCATCTCCTTTCATCACCATTTATTCCCCCTTTACCTTCTGTTTCCCCAAACTCCCCTTAATGTAACTATCAGCACTACCACCAACATGTAATTACTGAAAGAAAACAAAAAATAAGAGAATAAGAGGATTAGAGTTAATATTCTGTGTTATAAAGTTATTTAAAGAAGTTTATCTCTGACTGGTTGTCAGAGATATAAAATTACAATTATTTCTTTTTTTGATTTTGAAGGATATAAAATTACAATTTGATTTAAAATTACAATTATTTCTTTTTTTTATTTTGAAGGATTTCCCTTAAAATGTAATTCTTGAATCCTATCCCTGTTCACTTCACTTTGTTCAGTTTCTCCTACCCATTTTTAAAAAAAATGTTCTTACTGACTTAAAAAGCACACAAATTTTTATTGATATCAGAGAAGAAGGAGGAGAGAGAGACACATTAGTGATGAGAGAGAATCATTGATCAGCTGCCTCCTGCATGCCCCATACTGGGGTTTGAGCCCACAACCTGGGTATGTGCCCTGACCAGGAATTGAACCAGAGACCTCTTGGTTCATGGGTCAGTGCTCAACCACAGAGCCACTTTGGCTGGCTTTATTCATTTTTTAAAAATAAAGGAATTGAGAGGGGAAGTGAGAGAAAGAGAAATACATTGATTGGCTGCCTCCCATACCCAGGGGGACCAAACCTGCAACCTGGGCATGTGCCCTGACTGGGAATTTTTAAAGTGCATATGTACTACTATATATCCCTATGCAATTCCTTAGATTAAGTGCAGGCTGGGCTGAGGGACACTCTCCCCGTGCACAAATTTCATGCACCAGGCCTCTAGTTTTATATAAATGGGATATTATATTTGGCACTTAGCATGCTTTTGAAGTTCATCATATTTTGGCATGTACCAATAGTTTGTTTTTTTAATTGCTAAACCGTATTCTGTGAGTGCTACATTTCATTTATCTACTCACTAGCTGATGGACATTTTTGTATTTCTAATTTTTGTCTATTAAGAATAATGCTACTATGTATATTCACATCTCTTTAAATGGAAAAATACTTTCATTTACCTTTGAGTAGGTTCCTAGAAGTAGAATTGCTGGTTTGTATGCTAAATGTATGTTTAACTTTTTAAATTACCGTTTGTTTTCCAGTATGATTTACCCTTTTACATTCACACTGATAATATAGAAAGGTTCCAGCTTCTCCACATCTTTGCCAGCTCTTGGTATTATTTGTCATTTGGAATTTATCTGTTCTAATAGATGTATAGCAGTATGCCATTAGTTTTTACATTTTGTTGTTGTTGTTGTTGTTAATCCTCATTCGAGGATATTTTTCCATTGATTTTTAGGGGGAATGCAAGAGAGAGGGAAAGACAGAGAAACATCGATGTGAGAGAAACACATCAATTGGTTGCCTTCTGCATGAGCTCCCACTAGTACCTGGGCTGGGGAGGAGCCTGCCACCAAGGTATGTGCCCTTGACCGGAATCAGACCCAAGAACCCTTTGGCCCACAGGCTGACTGACGCTCGCTCTATCATCTGAGCCAAACCAGCTAGGATGGCTTTTGCTTTTCTTAATAAATTAAGCATATTTTTATGTGTTTATTAGAAATTTGTATGTATTCTGTCATGAAATGTTTATTCAAGTCTTTTGTTCACTTTTAAAATTGAGTTTTCTTAAAATTGATTTGTTGAAAGTTTAATATATCATGTATAAGTCCTTCATTAGATATATGACTTATATTTTTCCCCAGTCTGTAGATTATCTTTTCATTTTCATAATAGTATCTTTTGAAGCACATTTAAATTTTGTGGAAATCAATTTTACAGTCACATCTAACACTTTGCCAAATTTTTCTGAGTTTTCTTCTGGGAGGTTAGCTTCTACATTTAGGTATCTATGGTCCATTTTGAGTTAATATATGTGTATGTTGTGGGGCAAGGACTCATGGCTTTTGTTTTGTTTTTGAAATTAGATATCAAATTGTCCTATACATTATGTCGAAAATACTCCCTTTTCTCTATTGAGTTATCTGGGCACTCTTGTCACACAAATCAATTTACCACAAATGCCAACTGATTTGGACTCTCTGGTCTGTTCCATTGATTTATATGCCTGTCCTTTTGCCATTATCACATTATCTTGATGTTTGTGGCTTTATGGAAATTTGGTAGTTTAAGTCCTCTGAATTTTTGTTCTTTTTCAAAATTGTTTTGGCTACCATAGGTCCTCTTTGATTCCATATGGATTTTAGAAGCCATCAATTCTTTTTTAAAATAGCCATCTGGCATTCTTATAATTGATTTAATTTATAGATAAAGTTGGGGGAAATGCCAACTTATATGAAGCCTCTCTGTAACCTGGGTTTGTGCATCTTCAGATTTGTAAGAGCTGAAATGTTTGCCCTCCCCACTGACCAGCCTCTGAGAAGTCACCTCCAATGATAATGCCCCTGGGCCTGTTCATCACTTGCTGCCCTAAATGGAATGAATGCCCTTCCCTCACAGCTGCTTCCAAGCTCCCCTACAGTAACACTGATGGAGCTAGGTGGCAGGGGAGAATTGGTAGCTCCAGACACCAAAGATTTCTACTGTCCTTACTTGAAATCCAGTAGTTTTTCTAACATAAATGCTTCTCAGATGGTTTTATGTCTTTGGTTGTGAAAATGATTTTTTGCCAAAATTTTTCAGGTTTCTAGTTGCTTCTAGTTAGAGGACTTGCTGATTACACTTGGCTATAGCTGGAAGAACCTTCTTTTTTATACTCTAGTCTTAAATTATGTAATGTGTATGAGAATATAGGTGCTGCTGTGAGTTAATTACTAGCCATTTGTCCTGAATTGGGAACCAAGGAGCAGTTACTATTTTGAGGGGAGTAAGTGTGGAAATAATGACCCCTGATCTAGTTGTTCTTCCCTTCCTGGCTCATGTAAATAGGCCATTTGCAATTTGGAGTGATAGCAAGTCTGGAGGATCACTTTTACTTTTATATTATATTCGTGTACCTAGGTTACTTGTGGTTTATGACTATGGTCATTTTGTATTTTGTCAGAAGAATTTGAACCAAGTATTTTGTGTTTTCCCCTCCTTTTAATACATTTAAATGTTTTTTCATTGTTATTGTATTTTTATTTTCTGTAGGAAAATTTGAGTGTAGTTCTACTCCTATTTTGCTTTTATTTTATTTTATTTATTTATTTTTTTTAATATATATTTTATTGATTTTGTACAGAGAGGAAGGGAGAGAGATAGAGAGCTAGAAACATCGATGAGAGAGAGTCATCGACCAGCTGTCTCTTGCATACCCCCTACTGGGGATGTGCCCGCAACCAAGGTACATGCCCTTGACCGGAATCGAACCCGGGACCTTTCAGTCCCCAAGCCGACGCTCTATCCATTGAGCCAAACCGGTCTCGGCCCTATTTTGCTTTTAATAAATGGATGTCATTCTTTTTCATCATAAATACATTTTTGTTTTCTTAATTTATGATTAGTATGTATATAATAAAATGTTTTGAAATTATATCTTTCTGTGAAGATGCCTTTGTATTAATTGATTAGTATCTTCAAACTATGTTTAATGAGGGCGGGGGTGGGGATGTCTCTTTTGCTCATATCTTTTTCTCATTGTCTAACACAAAATAAACAATATGGGCCCTAGCTGGGTAGCTCAGTTGGTTAGAGCATTGTAATGATACATCAAAGGTTGTGGGTTGATCCCTGATCAGGGCACATATAAAAATTAACCAATAAATAAGTGGGATAGTAAGTCTCTCTTCCTTCATCTCTCTAAAATCACTAAAAATATAAATAAGTAACATGATTTTACTCAATATATTGTATTATTATCATGTAGCATTATTAGGTTGTATAAGGATTTTGAGCCTAATTTGTGCTATTGGTGACTGATCTTTATCTCTCTATAACCTTAACTGAAAAGTATAAGTGGACCAAAACATACTATTTGGGGAAGAGACAGAATTGAGGAAGATTCTGTTTTGATATAAAGGAATAGGGAATATGGCATGAAAGTAAAGTTAGCTACTTTTCATTTCCTAGAAGATATACAAGATAGACAAAAGTAGGTTTACAGTTTTCTATGGAAATTTATACAATAATAAATAATAATACAAGAATAAACTCTGGTATATGCAGAACTACTTTTACCCCACCCTGTATTTTTTGTTATCTGGTCTGAGATGGTGAGTTTAACCCATCTCAATTTTAATAGCTTGCTTAAAAATATCATCTTATTCAGTATATGAAATTGTAAATTTATTTTACTAAAATCTATGCTTTCCTTCCCCCTCTTAGGACATTTGCTACAAGATCCTATTGCGCCCACCAACTCTACCTGCCAACACTATGTCTGCAAAACTTGTAAAGGCAAGAAAATGATGATGAAACCTTCATGTAGTTGGTGCAAAGACTATGAGCAGTTTGAGGAAAACAAGCAGTTAAGCATCCTAGTGAACTGCTACAAAAAACTATGTGAATATATAACACAGACTACATTGGCACGGGATATAATAGAAGCAGTCGACGGTTCTTCTGATATTTTGGCTTTGCTTAATGATGGATCATTGCTTTGTGAGGAGACAGAAAAACCCTCAGATTCATCCTTTACTTTGCCTTTGACACATTCCCCTTTACCTTCGACCTCAGAACCCACAACTGATCCTCAACCTAGTTTATCTCCAATATCTGAAAGTACCCTCAGCATTGCTATTGGCAGTTCTGTTATCAATGGTTTGCCTATTTATAATGGGCTTTCAATAGATAGATTTGGTATAAATATTCCTTCATCCGAACATTCAAATACGATTGATGTATGTAACACTGTTGACATAAAAACTGAAGATCTGTCTGACAGCTTGCCACCTGTCTGTGACACGGTAGCCACTGACTTATGCTCCACGGGCATTGATATCTGCAGTTTCAGTGAAGATATAAAACCTGGTGACTCTCTGTTACTGAGTGTTGAGGAAGTACTCCGCAGCCTAGAAACTGTTTCTAATACAGAGGTTTGTTGCCCTAATTTGCAGCCCAACTTGGAAGTATCTAGTGTATCCAATGGACCTTTTCTGCAGCTTTCTTCCCAGTCTCTTAGCCATAATGTTTTTATGTCCACCAGTCCTGCACTTCATGGGTTATCATGTACAGCAGCAACTCCGAAAGTAGCAAAATTGAATAGAAAACGATCCAGATCAGAAAGCGACAGTGAGAAAGTTCAGCCACTTCCAATTTCTACCATTATCCGAGGCCCAACATTGGGGGCATCTGCTCCTGTGACAGTGAAACGGGAGAGCAAAATTTCTCTTCAGCCTATAGCAACTGTACCCAATGGAGGCACAACACCTAAAATCAGCAAAACTGTACTTTTATCTACTAAAAGCATGAAAAAGAGTCATGACCATGGATCCAAGAAATCTCACTCTAAAACCAAGCCAGGTATTCTTAAAAAAGACAAGACAGTAAAGGAAAAGATTCCTAGTCATCATTTTATGCCAGGAAGTCCTACCAAGACTGTGTGTAAAAAACCCCAGGAAAAGAAAGGGTGTAAATGTGGGCGTGCTACTCAAAATCCAAGTGTTCTTACATGCCGCGGCCAACGCTGCCCTTGCTACTCTAACCGCAAAGCCTGCTTAGATTGTATATGTCGTGGCTGCCAAAACTCCTATATGGCCAACGGGGAGAAGAAGTTGGAGGCATTTGCTGTGCCAGAAAAGGCCTTGGAGCAGACCAGGCTCACTTTGGGCATTAATGTGACTAGCATTGCTGTGCGCAATGCTAGTACCAGCACCAGTGTAATTAATGTCACAGGGTCCCCAGTAACGACGTTTTTAGCTGCCAGTACGCATGATGATAAAAGTTTGGATGAAGCTATAGACATGAGATTCGACTGTTAAATCAGTGGGTCTTTAAACCTACCTCTGGTAGGGAAATAGCTACAGTTTAAGGCAGCTATGGTTTTGTTGGTTTAACTTGCCGGAGCTCCTGCATATAGATCACTTGTATCAAGTGTTTTCATTGCTAAGTTATATGTGTTAGTGTCGGGGAAATAGTTTGCAGATAACGGAGGAGTAACCCTACAACTATATGTCCTTAGTTCTTACAGAACCTCATAGTTTGAGAACAAATGCTGATGCAACTGATTTATACAAAATGAACTTTGGCAAGAAAGATAACATTAACCTCATTGTTTATGGTCATGCTTTGTGCGTAATCAAAGTTTATGATTAAATGTAAGGAAGTGGTATCTAGTCAGTCCATAAAGATTGTGCTAAGTTTCTGTGAAATGTAGCCATTGTTTGTTCAGGAGACTCAGTGCTTGCTATCTTCAGATGTCATTGATGTTTCTCCTGTTGAAAAGCTGATGTGTCCAGCTCAATCTATATGCTGACAATACCATTTCTGATCATGAAAATTGGCTACTGGTGTATGTAGCAGTTCTTAAATCAGCAGTATTATGAAAGAAAATTTGCCCCTCATTAGAATGTTGAAGAAATCTGTCGTTTAAAGGTGAGCAAACTGAAATTCTGTCAGACTGCCCATGTTTAGTTATTTATGCTACCAAACTTTTCTGAGTTGAGCTTTTTTTTAGTGAGTCTGACTTATTTCTAGGGAAAAAATTCTTGATCCTTTCTTCACTGTGCGCATTGTTCTAATTAGATAAATGAAGTGGAGAAGAGCAGTTTTATTCTGAAGCTGATTGAGTTTAAACTATAGTATGTGACAATTAAAAATATATAAAAGCTTTATTTAGAAATTGGGATGTATTTAAAATAATTTTGGAATAATGCCCCAAATGTCTCCAGATTTTTGCATTATACTTATGCTATTGGCCACTTAGATTTTTTTGTTTCCTTGAATAGTTTGCCACAGACTATTTTAATACGCTTTTTTTTTTTTTTTTTTGGGTGCTATTTGTTATGAAGGCTTCTATATAGAGGCATAATAAAAATGCCTTTTTTAATGAAGCCTCCGCATTTAGGTAGGTTTGAAGCTAGGATGATTTTCTTTAGAATGCTCTTTTGCATGTAAAGCACAAACTATGTTTCAGTTTAAATGCACTTCTTCCCTTTAATTTTTATGGGGAAGACAAGTCACAAACATTCTGTTGAAGGGAAGTCTGGTCAGTTGCTTGAAAGAGCACAGCCCAAATAAAACAAGGACTGACTAGGTTGTAAAGAAACGACCTTATGAATTAAAAGAAGAGTTGCTGCTTTGACAGTGCTTAAAGAAAAATACTGCTGGAAAACTTACAATTTTTACGTTCACCATCTCTCGTGAGATCTGACATATGCTGAAGTTATGTTTTGATTTGGCACACAGCATGTTCAAATGATGGTTACTCACCTAGGACAAGACATGGAGAAGAAACCTTGGACACAGAGCAGATGACACCTCCTTCTGTTTTGTAGTGTATCCTGGTGTCATTTTCTGTGAATGTGGTCAGGTAGAGTTGTTTTTCTTGTTGGGCTTTTTTTTTTTTTTTTTTTTTTTTTTGGTCTCTTGGTGGGGTGGGGGTGGGCTAAAGCCATAGGAAGAAAAATGTGATGTATGTGTCCAGTATGTACTATTTTGTTTTGTTTTGCAAGAAGAGTTGAACTATTTTTGATAACAAGAGTAAATGGTGGAAAATGCTTCTTAGTTGTCTTGTCTTTATTTGCTTTCCAAGTTTTGGAATTTTATTTAATTCCTCTTAAGTGTTAGCAGTGTCTCATGAAACATGTACTTGCTTAAAGTTTGTAACAGTTTTGTGTTGATTCCAGATGCCCTGCTATATATATAAACTTGTAAATCTGTTCTTTATTCATTAATGATCACTGCAAAATTGACTAGAAATGAGATTGTACCACATGGATGATTAGGATATATTTTGCAAATCTCCCACCCTTCCTAATATTATGATCTTAAAAGTCATAGAGTACCTTATTGTTTCCCAAGTTTGATAATCTTAGTTTTATGTTTTTTGATGCATGGGAGGTTGGCAATATAGAAAAAATGGGAGACATTAGTATGTGAGGGCCTTGATTGTTATGTAATATTGCCAATGATGAATTCAGGTTGTTTTTAGCACAACTTTCTCTTTTTTATGCTGGTATTCACACTGCCACATTTTGAAACCTGTATTACACCTTAAATCTATCAATAAATGTTAGTTTTCTAATTCTATGTTGTAGAATACTGAAAAGTTTGGGATAGCATGCTCTGAATGGCCTATATTATATACATTTGGGGAAGTAATTGAAACAGTGCCTTGATTTTTACATTGTTTTCCTTTATACCATGAGTTATGGCTAACTAGGGATGATTAAGAAATTACTACTGAAGTAACTGGATTTACTTCTTCAGGATTTGATACTACCAAAATAATAACAGCATTTAATATGACATGTTTTCACTTGTTCTTTTGAGTCTTTGTTATTAACACAAGTGATCAAATGATCTTTCATCTTAGGTTATGAAAATTTTAGAACTGAGAGTTTATTCCTTTGTTAAGTTTCATTAAGTGTACATTTTCATGCTCAGGTGTAAAGGTAAGGATTCCTTTTATTTTACTGTTTTAGTTTGCTTAAAACAACTCTGCGGTGACCTTGTGGGAGAAAAGTTACGTTTTACAACATATGAAAAATAAAATTTCCTTCTCCATATCATAGGTAACAAATATAAAATGCTTTAAAAAATACTAAATTCAAATTATGGTTATCGGAATCTAACACTTGGATGGTATTTAAACTTTTCTCCCTCCCTATAATAATGTTTTTAAAAAGTGTGTGTGTGTGTGTATATATATATACATAAATAATTTCAGAGAGGAAGAGAGACAACAGAGAGAGAGTCATTGATTGGCTGCCTTCTGTATCTCCCCCTGGGGATCAAGCCTATAATTCGGGTGCTGCCTGTTGTTTGGTTCCGGGGTCTACACTCAACAGCTGAGCAACACAGGCCGGATTCTCCCTCCTTTTAAAAAATATTTTTAGGTACCTAAATAATCAATTATGTATTCTTTTAAAAAGAATGTATTATATATAAGACTAAAGTTCTCTTTGATCCCTGTGAAACTCTCATCCCCAAACCCTGTTCCTTCCCATCCCCCAGAGGAAATCACTTCTCATTTTGAGGTGTTATCTTTACAGATCTTTATCGTTTCTCAGGGAACTCAAAAAAGTTATTCTCTTTGAAACTCAAGCTTGTTTACAATGTTACTCAGACATAAAAATGAAGTCAAGTGTGATTAAAAGTACAAGCGTGTAGCGATTATCTTAGTGAGTGGGATTCATATTTGACAACTTGTCTTTATTTAGTTTTTGAAAAAGGGAAAAATAAAACAAAAGCCATGCAGACTTCTCTATCCAAACACACCTTAACATTTCCAAAAGTTGAGCAAAAGACTTTCCTCATTTAATCAGTATAGAGTTTTATAAACACTTTGAACAGTATACAATGACATAGATAAGGTGCAGGGAAAATACATAGAATTTTATTAGTTTGATTACTTTGGTAACATGTTATGCTAAGAAACTCATTTTTTCATTGACTAGTATTAGGATTATGATAAACATCAATTGAAACTTTTATCATGGAGACTGAGATAATGTAACTTGAAATTTTCAGTTGGGCAGTAATGATTATTTGCAGCATGATCTTTAATCAGAAAATCAAATATATACTATCTTAGTTTCTCAAATTCACATTTCTTCCATTCAGCTCTTAAGAGTACAGTGAAACACATTCTTATGTCTGAAAATGTGATACTTAGGGTAACCTAAATTAAAATAGCCTTAGATGAAATGATATTGGTAGCTTGCTTTTATAATTACAGACTTTTTGAAATCAAATAATGACCAAAGTGAAAGGATGAGGACTTTAGTAAGAAACAAGGGAAAAATGTAAAACCAAGTTAAAAAAAAAAAAAAAAAAAAAAATATATATATATATATATATATATATATATATATATATATTGGAATTTGGGTTTTATTTTTATTTTTTGCTGAGTCTTAGAAATAATTGAGGTCAGTATGGATAATAAAACCTTTAAATTTTCTGGCTTCTAAAAAAAAAGGTAATTGCTTTCCTGGTAAAGGCTGGATGGGATAGATGATAAATTTTATGTGTCACATAAATATTTTTAATCCTACTTTTCAGTATGTTTAGGTTATTGCATATAGCGTTTCCTCCAAATAGTCATTTTTAAGCTTTTACTTATTTTTTTAAATATATATTATTGATTTTTTTTTTTTTTTACAGAGAAGGAGATGAATAGTGTTAGAAACATCGATGAGAGAGAAACATCGATCAGCCGCCTCCTGCACACCCCCTACTGGTGATGTGCCCGCAACCAAGGTATATGCCCTTAACCAGAATCTGGGACCCTTCAGTCTGCAGGCTGATGCTCTATCCACTGAGTCAAACCGGTCAGGGCTAAGCTTTTACTTCTTAGTGAATTATTAGATATTAGGTTTTAATAGTTACCATTTTCTTTTAACAGTTAAATGGAAGATCAGTTCTGATCATGGAGATAAAATAACAGGAAACAGTATATTGACAAGGATTGCTATTACACCAGTTGATAGTATGTTTCCTAATTTTCCTTTTCTCCACTTTTTGTTTACCACAACTCAAATGTTTATTTCATTATTTAGCCTTAACACCAGGTAAGGTGAGAAGGAAAGATAATTATTGACATTAAGGACTTTGGGTTAAAACAAAAAATAATAGGAGAAAAGTTAATGACTTTCACAGAGATGAATATTTAAAAAGTTTGGGGTGTTTTTTTTGTTTGTTTCTTTTACTTACACTGTCAGAAATTTCCATCCTTTTTATAGTTTAATTTTATCTTCAAGGTTATCACAGGATTTGGCTGCATCCTGACTTGCTCAAAAATGTTGATTTTCATAATGGAAACATCTGACCACTATAGTTCATGAAATAGCTTTCTTTTTTGGGTGGCATCACTGTTTTCCTCTATTTCTGTGATAAATATTGAAGTGGATGAAATATTTGGAATAGTAGTTTCAACATGAAGGAATAATGTTGATTGAGGCTTTACTACTGTGTTAGTCTGATATTAAATCATGAACGGAATATGTCTAGTTAGAGTTTTCATATATCATTAAGTCTTCAAGAAGGCCTTTTGATAGGAAGAATAGATGGGGTGTAAGCTAATTTAGAGAGTAATCATTCAATTTTCTACAAATAGTAGATGAGTTAAGAGGAAACTTTTTTTCAAGTATGAGTCAAATTCTGTACTTATTTTCATGTAAGAAGTTTTTTCTTTAGATTTTACTTAAGACCCACAGTCAAGATGGGGAAGGGATTATTCAGAGCTTGCCAGCGAAGTTGGAAGGCCCAGTGGTTACAATACCTGAGGATGTAAAGTGACTAGCAGTTTGGCAGATCATTGTGAAATAATACATTAAACCAAGTAAGTTCAAGGTCTTTGAACTCCAGTACACACATAATTAAAGGAAGTCTCTGAGATGTTTTGGCAGTGCTTTTATTACCAGGGCTAATTCAGTTCTGGAAGCCCTTAATGCTTTTTCAAGTTCCAGAATTTTTTGACTCAAGTTTTCTGCAAGTGAAAGTTTCTTCTGGGCTCCACAGGAGCTCTGAGGGGCCTCAGGGATGCTGGACAATAGATGCAACTCCTTCCTTCCTTTGTGCAGAGAACTGTGCTTGACACTGTCCCCAAGAGATCCTTGGTACATTCAGGGTGAAGAATGCTGGTTCACAGACTATGGAAGGTGATGTAATCATTGTAATTGCTTATAAGGAAATCTCTGTAAGAGGTTTGAGGCAAACTGGAGGATTCTTCCAAATTGAATGTATATATCCAGACCTATTGCTTAAAAATGTTTTACAGTTCCCAGTGCCGATACACACTTGCAGAAATCAAAGCCTTTAAAAAGCAGTTTGCAAACGAAAGCATCTCTTCACAAGAAAAAAAAAAGCATTTAAAATACATATCTCCTTTTCATTATAGATATTGGCAGCTATTCTTCATCCACTGACTGAAGCTTTCCACATTTCTCTGAAAGGCTTGAGGTTGCTATTTTATTGCCTGTGTTTCCAATTTCAGAGGGAGAGGCAGGTTCCTCTGTTTCATAATCTTCAAAAGAACTGAAAGAAACAGCAAAAGTGGTATTTTTAAAGAAAGTGGGTAGAAGTCAGTATTGTAAACTAGAGACTGAGGACCAGCTTGTAAAAGCTGTTAAATGGCAACTATAAACAACTTCAACCCTGGTGAAGACAATGTTCTAAAACAGAAAATACGGTCTTTAAAGCCCAAGTTCATGTTAGAATTTGTTGAAAATGTGCTGTATCAAGGTTTCTCACCCTGATTGTGTGGCTCAGTTGGAGCATCATCCCATATATCAGTTGTAGATTCAATTCACAGGGCAGGTACCTAGGTTGTGGGTTCAATCCTCAGTTGGAGATCCAACTGATTGATGTTTTTCTCCTTTCAAAAAATAACATATCCTTGTGTGAGGATTAAAGAAAAAAAATAAAAAAGGTTTCCTTAGGAGCCCTGGTAGGAATGAGTGTTCTGTCCAGCTAGGTTAGGGAAAGTCTGAGGTCCATGAAGTCTGAGCTTTACATGAATGCTTTCCATGCAGAATAGGAAATTTTCTTAACTCACAATGCTTATAGCCCCCATGGCATGCAAGAAGTACATTAGTTGTGCAAGTGTGTATATGGAATAGATTGAAGCCATTCTTTGTAGAACTCCATAACACATTCCCTCTGCGAACTCCCCTTTTACTGATTACTCCCCCCCCCCTTTTCCTTATCCCCCAGGCTACCCCTGAGGGTGGCTTTAGGCAGTTATGACAAATATTTTATCTCTTGGTGGTAATGGCTGCTCAAACCACTAAATTGATAAATATTTTCAGGTGAAAAATACACATGATCAATGAGCAAAGTCTCATAGTACTTGGCATAATTGGCTTAGCTTTGTTACTCTCTGCATGGACTTTTCATAACATTTGTGCAGAAATTTCTGTACTTAATATAGCCCTTTTATTTAAAAAAAAAAAAAAAAAAAAGTACTAAGGCTGACTAGTGAGGGAAAATATGTGGAGGCAGGTATACCGCTTAGGTGGCACCTGCTCAACTTCCTAAAAAATTTTTGAAAAGGCTTAAGAAAAAAAAAAAAAAAAAGGCTATTTGATCTTTGGAAAACTCTCTGAGTATTGGTTTTTGATCCTATCAAAAGTTATTTTTAAAAATTATTTACAACTTGGTCATTTTGCAAAAATACTCCATTACATACTTAATTTGTTTCCATCCCTCCTCACTTCCCACAATGCTGGATAAGGAGGACAAAAACATGGGAAATGAAGTAGAGTTGATGGTAGAGACTCCATTTCTGGGGATGCAATTCTCAAAAGTTAATTCTAGCAATGCAGTGTTAGACCTGTGGCTGCTGTCTGTGAGCTCTTAATTTCTTAAAAACCTCAGTGCAGATTTGGGAGTAAGAATTAAGTCTGGCCGAAACCTGTTTGGCTAGTGGTAGAGCGTCGGTCTGCGGACTGAAAGGTCCCGGGTTCAATTCCGGTCAGGGGCATGTACTTTGGTTGTGGGCACATCCCCGGTAGGGGGTGTGCAAGAGGCAGCTGGTTGATGTTTCTCTCTCATCGACGTTTCTATCTCTCTCTCTCCCTTCCTCTCTGTAATAAATCAATAAAATATATATTAAAAAAAAAAAAAAAGAATTAAGTCTGACCTGAGGCTCATTCAAGTAAATATTTGAGCTCCTGTTGCTAAACATGAGCCAAGTGCTAGAAATACAAATGGTAAAAAAGACTGAAGCAATGCCTGCCTACGGTCAAATGGAGGCCAAGTGGTTTTGCTTTAGAGCATGGACTTTGGAGGTTCCAATTTTAGTTTGAACACTTACTGTGACTTTTGGGTATGTTGCTTAACCCCTCTGCACCAGTTTCCTCAGTTAATGAAATAATAGCAGTTCCTATCTATCATAAGATCTGAGTGAAGATTGGGTGAGAGGGCCTATAAATTATAAGTTCTTGGAAAATATCAAGTATTATTCTAAAGATTCAGAAGTGCTAGGATGGTGGCACAATCCTATATTGAGGGAAGGGTCACAAATTTTTTGTGTATGTCATTCATGAATAAAAGTTTTATAAAAATAACTACTTCTCCCCAATATAGCCTCCTACCAAAAATGTGATTTCTATCAATGTATTATTTTTAAATATTTTTTATTGATTTCAGAGAGGAAGAGAGTGGGATAGAAACATCCAAGATGAGAGAGAATCATTGATTGGCTGCCTACTAGCGGTTGAGCCTGCAATTTGGGCATGTGTCCTAACAGGGAATCAAACCATGACCTTCTGGTTCATGGGTCGGCAATCAAACACTGAGCCACACGGGCTGGGTTCTAGCAATGGATCTGATCCAGTCTAGTACATGAAGATATTCCAATGCCCTGAAGGTTGGTTATACTGGAATGTTACCATTTCTTTTGCATTTTCAAGGCACCAAGAGCAGTACTAGCACAGCAACATGAGAGGAATCTCATGGATTGAGAGAGCTCATTCAGAACCTATTGTCAGTGTCCTTCTTAGTGTCTTGGAGACTCCTCTTAATCTAACTCGGTGGTTCTCAACTGGGAATGGTTCCCTCCCCTCACCCTCAGGGGACATTTGGCAATATCTGGAGATATCTGATTGTCACAATGGGGTGGTCCTACTGGCATCTAGTGGGTAGAGGCCAGGGATGCTGCTAAACATCTTACAATGTGCCAGATGCCTCAGAACAGAATTACTCAGCTTAAAACATCAGTGCTGCTGTTGATAAACCCTGAACTAACTTGCGCCTTCAGTGTCAGTGCATCTCAGGTTCTGGACTAAGCTTTTTTCCTTCTAAGTACTTTCTGGTAATCAGCCTTTGTCATGGCTTTTTCACCTATGGCTTCTAAATGTACATGTCCAGCCTCAGCCTCTTCGTAAGCTGGAAACCACCATGTATGTTTCTTCTGGTATGAGAGCTTATACAAACCTGAACTTAATCCTTCTTTCACTCCTGCCCACTCCAAGCCAGAAACCTAGTCATCCCAAATTCCTCTTCGCTCTTCCCGTCTCCTCCCTTCTTCAAATCCAGTCAATGTCTCCTACCACTTTCAATTTCACACAAATATAGTCCTGCCTTTTCTTCTCCATTATCATTGGTTTTTGTTCAGGGCACTATACTTTCAAGCTTGGATTACTGCAATAGTTTTCTAATAATAGTCTTCCGGCTTTCACTCGTCATAAATCCTTTGCTACAGCCATATTAGGCTATTTACTGTGTCAGAATGGGTTATGGTCTGGGACCTAATGCTACCGTGCATGTTTTTCAGTGTCCTGCAGTGCCCTCCCCCCTTTGGTTTACTTGGGCTAATTTTAAAATTATTATCCCTGATTCCCAGTACCTGAGCTATACCATTATTTAGATACCTATAATGGCTTCCATATTTGTTTCTCTGATTCTATTCTTGCACCTCTACCAATCTAGCAGAGTAATTTTCAAAATATGTAAGGGGTTTACATTAGTCCTTGTTAAAACTCTTTCAGTAGTTCCCCTAATTTTTCAAGCCACATTTCCTTCTGTTGCTCACTATACCTCAGCAACACTGGCCTAATAAAGTGTTCTTAATACAGTTTGTGTCTTGCCTCAGAGCCACTGCACATCTTTTTCCCTCTGCCTAGGACATTTTTGCTCCCTGTTTTTTGCACAACTGTTTAACTTTCTCATCACCTCCTCAGAAATTCTTCCCTCAGCACCCTTTCCATGGTTGTTTCATTCATAACTGTATAATCAAATAGCTGTCTTCACCACAGGACTGTAAAGTGCGCATTTTGTAACTCATCAATTTCCTTGGGCTATAGTGCAATACCTGGCACTAGCGGCTTAAAATAAATTGTTGAATGAATTGTGATGTCCTAATGCTCTTATGAAATATGTCAAGTTGTTGGAGAAGCCTGGAGTCATAAAATGGTGATGGTGCAGAGGTGATCTTGAAGTCACTAAAGTCAGAACTAGAAGAGCCTTTATCTTTATCCTACTCCCCAGGAATTCTTGGGGGAGGGAGTTAGTTTCCTGCTAAATGACCTCTTTCAGGTTTATTGGTAGGTCACTGGGATTCCTCCAAGTTCCTTCAATTAAGATAACTTTATGAAGTATTCTGTTAATTTAATTATTTTTAATGAGTAAAGCATTAAAAAGAATAAAGAATTCATAGGCTTCACAATAGTTCACTGGAAATCCTAGTTGTCATATTCAGCACAAATTCTTTAACTTAGTATAAACATGGTATTGTTAACATAAGGGAAAAAAATGGTTCATACTTGTAATTTTTTGCTAGCAATAAGTGCATTTAGAAACCTGTTTTTCAGTTTTCCCTTTCAGATGAGCAATTTTCTGGGAAAACATAACAGCTGGAAAGAGCAGAAATAATGACTGGCTCTTATGTGGTCTGACATAGGATTTGTATGCAGTCCAGTTATTGTTTAAGAGTTATAGTTTGATTCCAATTTTGGGATTCTGGTTCTTTACAGGGGCAAAGAGATAGGATAGTTGAGTTAGGGTTTGTCTGAGGAAATCAAACACGGTAGCTATAAGCATAGAATATAATTTTAAGTAGATCTCTAATATGGAGTCTATAATGCTTTAGAAATAGTAGATGAAATTTACCTTATACTTTTAAATTAAAAACAGTCACTGATTTAAGGTGGATTAGCGGAAATATTTGGCAAGTTGGATATTTGGTTAATGAATTTCCCTGCTGCCCCTTTCAATGACTAGGGTATTTTTTATTTTAACTCTTGTTAATGTTTCCTAATGTGTACCACTCATTTTCCTGCCTCAGAAAGTTGATATCACTTCATTTTTGATAGCTGAGGATCTCTTATGGTTCCCAGGTTTACCCTCTTTTTATTTTGGATGTAGACAGTCTAATGTAAGTTTAAATATGATCTAATTATGAACTTGAAGGGAGTGATAGGGTTTCATTCATTTCTGTTATCAACCACTGCCTGGCCTAGAGTGGGTACCAGTGAATATCTATTGAAATAAATTAAAATTGGGCTTTGACTTGTTGAATGCAGAAAAAATGAAAA